GTGCGAATTTGATATTCTGAATGGTGGGCTCGACCATGATCAGATATCGCCCTGGGATGACAGCAGTCTTGGGGTGGTCTGCTTCTGAGAACTCGATCTTCTACTCTGACCACTTTATCTTGGGTGCAGCCCCCTGCCATGTCGAACAAACTTCGCGCTCCACTTTCTTGTACTCTCGCTTTAAGGAGTACGCCGTGGAACCTCGGAAGATGTGCGAAACATGGAGGTCGGAGTCTGGGTAGGCTGAGTCTGAGTCCTGAGTAGCTGCTTCTACGGCCTTCTTGACTACACATACTCGCTTGCCTTTCTCCAACGCTAGTTGCTTCGTGAGCGCCTTTTTGAAGACGAAACAAGTCTCCAAAGAGTGCTTGTCCAACTTGTGTATAGGGCACCATATTTTCTTCGTATCGTCGCCTTGTGGGTCTGGGTGCTTAGGTTGGTCCGCATACTCTGCAGCGAGGACCTCTGTTTGAGCTTTCCTTTTCCTATTCCTGCGACTCTTCTTCTTGCTTGGCTCAGGTGTGTCCTTGGCTGGTTTCTTCTCTCCCCCCGTCTTCGGCTTGTCGTTCTTGCGTCTTAGGGCGTCGTCCGCGTGAGCGCATCGATCGACAATCTTGAAAAACTTACGAGCAGTTGTGATCCATCTTGTCGCCAACTCCTAGGTGGTGTAGCGATCTCGGACGCCAGACTTGAACGCGCGGATTACGGAAGCATCGGTGATCTTGGGGATCGTATTTCTGCACTCATTAAAGCGCCGAATATAGTCCCTCAATGATTCGCCCGGATTCTGTGTCAACGCGTGTAGGTCGTCCTCGATCGCGTGGCGCTTGTATGTTCCTTGGAAGTTGGCGACAAACTGCTGCCACAAATCTGCCCATGAAGAAATCGAGTAGGGCGGGAGGTGAACAAGCCACGAACATGCAGATCCTTTCAACGCCGCCGGCAAATAATTCGCCAATGCGTTGTCGTCTGCTCCGGCAGCGTAGAGTATTGTGGAATAGACCTGAAGGAACTCCTCAGGGTCGGTGCTTTCATCGTATTTCTCTACTGCTCCCGGTCGAAATTTCTTAGGCCATCGAACCTCTCGTAGAGAGCGAGCGAAAGCTCTACACCCGCCGCCAAGAGCGGTGGGTTGTCGGCGATCATGCGCTCGTCATGGATGTCGGTCCGATGAGGAAGATGATGAAGACAACGAGGATGATGAGGAATCACTCGGCTCCGGGGCAGGGTTCCGAGGATGACGCTCGGGTTCTCGTGAGCCTCATCGTCACCCATAGTTGTTTTCCCGGTGTCGATCTCCATCGTCGTCGTCGTCGCAGCGTCGACCTCAACTTGTATCGCACGGCAGCCGTTGTTCGCGATTATCGTGTTCTCGGCGGTTGTGGTGATCATCACGGTCTCGGTTCTCGCTCGGATGTCCTCCTTGCTCTTCGTTCTCGCGACGTCGCGACGAGACGCGATGTTGGGAACGATTTTCGTTGTCCCGCGTGCATCGTGCTTCTCGGTGGCCATTCAGATGGTCGCAGAGATCACTGGTGCCGCGAGGCGGAGGGGTGGCTTGACGAGGTGACGCCCGCTGCTCAGGCAGTTCCCCATTGCCGCCGCCGGTTGGCGGTTGTTCTGGCGGTACCCTGGCAGCGGCCTCCTCGAACGCGTTACTAAGGTTGGCTACTGATTCCCGTAGTCGTTCTGTCCACTGATCGAGATCAGCGTTCAGGATGGGATCATAAGGGGTCTCCCTCAGTATTGCGTTGATGGTCTTGATGTGCTGGGCCGGCGTAGCCAATTGATCCTCCGCTTCTGCATTGCCGCGTGTAGACGTGCAAGTCCCATCGATAGCGTATACATCGCGTGGTGTACTCGTTGATGATGAGGCTTGATCTTCGAGCAGATGTAAGACATATGGCTCGTGGGGATCGATATCGATTACCCCAACGAATGGCTCGTAGTGGTTGCTCCTCGTTCCTTGTCCGCATCTCTAAGAGAGATTCACGACTGTTGGACCTTAGGAGGTGACGTCCTCATGGCATTGAGAAAGACCTTATAGCTCGAAAGGTCGTGAGTCCTTGTCTTGTGAATGGAACAATGAACATCACGAGTGGGAGAAGCACACTGAATTCCGCGTTCCTTGCAGGCACGGATTTCAGCTTGTACGTCAAGAAAAACCGAGCAAGCTTGCAAGTCGTGCCCTTTGGTCTTGTGAATAGGACACCAGGTCTTTGTTTCCTCGGAAGTTGTCCTCGTCGGCTCGTGATTCTTGTCGAAAAGACAAGAACTGGCCGCGTTAGAATCCTTCTCGGGCGCAGACGTTGTCGGCGTTCCATTCTCTGCTCCTGCGGGAGGATCCTCCGACATGGAGTCGACCAGGGTTGTAACTACGTCGTTCTCGCTCCCGGTGATTACTGGGCCAGTCGAGATCGGCATCGTGGTGTAGACCGGGAAGACAATCTCGCCGACTTGAGTCCACACCAGCATCGTTGAAGTTGAAACTCCTTGGTTGATGCCGGGGTTGACGCTGTCATCGACGAGGCTTGAAGTCATAGTAGGAGAACCTTGAGCACCAAGGCCCCCTACCTGGCGCGCCACTGTCAACGGGGGATACCCGTAGACCGGATATAGAGGGTATTGAGGTACGCTGGTGCAAGGATCTACGTAGTACGACATCAAGTAAACAAAAGATAAGGATTATACTGGTTCAGGCCCCTTGATAGGTAATAGCCTTAATCCAGTTGGTATGGGATTATATGATGGAAACTACAGATTACAAAGGGAATAGTGGAACTCGATGATACCGACGAGACCGTAGTCAAGTTGGCTCGACTAGATCACCCGGCGACTTGGCTCCTGTAGGCTTCAACTTTGTAGGCTGTGGTGGATGTGTTGGTGGTCCGATTCGATGCCTTAGGTCCCGCCCGGGGGGTCCTTTTTATACCGCGGGTCAGTTGATCTCCAAGTAGGACTCAGAGATATCGGACCCCTCACGATATGGTAACGACCCAGTTTTGTCCGAATTGGACTCCCTCCATCTGTGGATTCTGTTTCTATTACGTGATAGATTTCCTTAACGTATACAGGGACTATCCGTATAAGCGCGGGTATACCGTATCAGTATACAACGTATATCAAGGATAGAGGGTATACCTTATCCGTAACCCTGACACCCTCCCCAGCAAGTCATCATTTCAACCAAAAATTTCAGATTTTCTCAATATTTTGTTGAACCTGGTTAAATTTTATTCAAATTCAGTCAAATAATATAGGTCTAAAAGTGCCAAAAATAAAAAAAAATTGTAAATCTCTGTGCTATCGAAATCGAAAATGCAATCGCTGATCACATATGTGGTGAAAAAGGTTAAAAAAGTTATATTTGAAAATCGAATTAGAAAAGTTTCAAAAACTGAGGAAAAATTCATACGCAACCGCGAAGTTTTTTAGAAATAATATTTTAATAGATAATTGCAAAAATATAATCCAGTCACCCAAAATCAGCGCCCTGTTGAACAACCAAAATTTGACATGGTACATACTTCCTCCGTTTTATAACGTAAGACTTTCTAATATTGTCCATATTTATTTAGATGTTAATGAATCTAAGCACATACATATGAGATTCGTTAACATCTAGATAAATATGAACAATGCTAGAAAGTGTTACATTGTGAAACGGAGGAAGTATCAAATAACGGTTATTCGATCGGTACCTCTTTCGAATAGCGATCGTTAGATACAACATTATGTTTTCTTTAGTTCTTTATGATACATGTGTGTTTGGGCTACTGTGAAACAGAGACCAATCGAACAAACAATATTGTTCAACATGCCATACTACATGCATGTGGCTGGACCAATCGAACTCCCAGAGTTCGATAGGGCTCCATGGATGCTTATTGCGACTATCTAAAAGACGGCCGCAAGCTAACTATAATATAATTTCGCTATAGCTATATATAACTTGTATATAAGTATAACTACTATTATAAGAATTAAAAAAAAAATTTGGTATTTTAGTACGTCATTCGTGTATGAATCGGTTTTTAAGTTAGTTTATTTTTGGAAATACATAGAAATCGTATAAGAAATCTCTTTTAGAAAATCACATGCTAACTTGAGATGATTGAACTCCTAATTGCAGCCCATGATTTTCTAGAAAAATATATATCCAAATGAATTCTCACAAAAATTGCCTTCACCTGTTACAAAGCACGGATATTTTCTCTAGTTAAAATAATATGTGTAACTTTATATCTAACTTATATATAGAGATTGCAACGTAGTTGTAACTATAGCATTACAACTATGCTATAGTTATATATGAAAGTTTTTTGCTAAAAAAACTTGCAACAGTTTTTATAGCAATTCCGTTCTTTTTTTATCAGGCCAACTAACCTGGTGAATTCGACATGTGCCTTTTACGTACCTACCGAACATTATTCAATAGGCACTCTATCGAATTTTGGTTGTTCCATAGTATGCTAAACATGTGATTTCATGTAACCGGATTATATTTTTGTAATTTTTTTCTATAAAAATAGTATTATTATTTTGAAAAAAATCGGCAGTAGCAGCCACCCACTCACTCAGCTAAAGTTGTTAGTATCTCAATTCGCATCCTAGTATCTTTCGATACTACGATCCCGTCTAGTATCCTAATTTTTATAGTATCTCGATCCTACCATTCATTACTACATGATCTTACGAATTCTTAGGTGGTATCCCGATTCTACGATCCCTACAATATTATAAAATTTTATTTAAAATAACATGGTTTGAAAATAATATAAATAAATATGCTCAAGTTTATATAGAAATCAGTTAAATATATCAAAACCAACGTGGTTTCTCTTGATAAATGTCTATATTTACATAAGATATAGTATTTATATAGAATAGCTATATATAATTAATATAAATATGAATTAAACTTAAAAAATTAAAATATAGTATCCGATACTACGATCCAATACTAATTTGAGGAAAAACGATACTACCTATATCCCGATCTAACATACTCATACTCAGGTAGCCAAGGAGGCGATGGCCACTTCTCTCGCGCCGTCCACACAATGAGTCCGGCAGCAACTATGGCCGTCCTTCTCCGACCATCCACGCTCCTCCCCTCCTCCCAATCCACGACGACCTCCCGACTCAGATTCCCCGTCGCTACCCCGCTTCCTCGCTGCCGCCATGGCGGCGCCGGCAAGAAGAGCCGCCTCCTGGTCGCAAGAAGAAGGGGGAGGAGAGACCGGGTCGCCTGCCTTCCCACGAAGGAGGAGGAGGAGGAGGAGGTCGGCGTGGCGGGAGACGGTGGGGAGGAGGATGGGGACGAGGACGGGTACCTGGCGAGGGAGGGCGAGTGGGGGGTGCGGCGGATGGGGCGGGTCGGCGAGGAGATGCGGCGGGTGGCGCTCGTCCAGGCCGAGGCCTTCCACATCCCCGTCGCCCTCTTCAACGACTTCTTCTTCGATTTTTTCAAAGTAATTAAGGAATTATTATTACTGATGCGCGCGTTGATGTTGTTCTTGGTGATGCTGATGCTGTTGTTTGTGGCATTTTGTTGGTCAAGATTAGGCGGAGGTGCTGTCGGCGCTCATCTACAGGGTGAGGAATTCGCCGCCTGACAGGTGATGTTCCTGTTCTTTGCTCTGTCTGCTGGAAATGAATGAATCGATGAGTGGTAGAAGGTCCAAATGCTTTGGAAGGATTTTGATTTGAATCCTTAAGTCTGGTCGTGGTTGCATACTTTACTAGTACACAGATTTATTTGTAGAGGATTAACGGTTCATATTAGTTTACTTTTGTCCTGAACTATCTGAAATTCTTCTGAAGTAACCATCTGGGACTAAACCACTTAACATTTACATTTGCCCAACGATGCTCAGGAATTAACAGGCGTTTCAGAGACCAAATTACAGCAATTCTGATGATAGTAGCAGACAGTTGTAATTGAGATACGTCAGTCCTTAACTTTATGAAGGTTACAAGTGGTAGGTTTCACCATTTTTCTTAGGTACTGTTGTGCATTGTTTTTTTAGAGAGAACTTTCCTGGCTTTTATCGAAAGCTAGATTGGTTTATTGACGTACTCTGAAACTTGACGTACTAGTGTACTACAGCACAGGAAGTCACGAAGTAACAAGCAGATGCATGTAGGCACACCAAATCACAACTAGGAATCCAGATTACAGAATGCTAACAGTCTTCGGACCAGGGTGGCTTATCCTGCTGAATACTAGGAATCCAGATTCTTGTGTGCAGCTTCTTGTAACACCACCCTGGTCAAGTATGCATGCAAAAAAAAGTCACTTTGAACACTAAAACTAGTCAAAATGATTATGGCATGTTTTACTATCTGGTTTTTGAGGTGCCTGTTGGTGTCATCACTTTTGGTTTAGCAATACCAGCAACTAAGATTAGTCAAAATGATCGATACACATAACGATTTTGGGTCTAACAATTTCACTGAGTGCTGATTCAGTTCATCATTGTCCTGTTAGATACGCGTGTTTAGTGGCAGAAGAAGTGGATGCAACCAGCCAGATATCTGAGGCGCCATTCGAGAAAATTGTTGGTGTGGTGGACTGCACAGTTCAGAATGAAGCTGACATACTTAAGAACCTCCAAGGCGTCGACGAGTACCTCTATGTGTCAGGAATTGCGGTGTTGCCATCCTTCAGGTAATGCTTGCCAACTTGCTTACCAAGGTTGCCAATACATTAAGCTAGAAGTTCTGAATTTTCGTTTCCCCTCCTCAGGAGGAGGAAGGTAGGGACTGCGCTGCTGAAAGCCTGCGAGGCGCTGGCGCTCCAGTGGAGGCACAGATTCATGGCGCTGAGGGCTTACAAGGACGACGATGGAGCTCGAGGCCTTTACTCCAAGGCGGGGTACAGGGTGGTGGCAAAGGATCCTGGATGGGTCACCTGGGTGGGAAGGAGACGGCGTGTTCTGATGATAAAGGAGCTGCCTATCCATGAACATCATTTAGAACAGCAATGATATGTTTCTTTGCTTTAGCCATGCATCGATCCCTGTAAATGTATCACTTTTGCTGTGAGTATCACTAGTGCATATGTATGCTTGTTTCTTTGTGGTAATTTGATTCAAGTTTGGTGTAGCATAAATCAATAGTATAGGTGAATGAATGGCTATTAGCAATGACGATCTTTTTGCCAGTGTCACAAGTCTCACAGATTCTGTGAAGCCCCAATTTACATCTTGTTTCCATTTGAGATAAGGGGAGAGGAAAAATTCAAAATAATTGACGATCATTATTTTTCTCCGTTCCATTTCCGTTCCAAAACTTCCAAATTTTGGTCAAAAAATTCTGAAATATCATATTGTAAACTAGCATAGAAGTTGCCCATCTCAAACTTTGAAAGTTCTACAATATGATATTTCAGAATTTTTTACCAAAGTTTGGAAGTTTTTGTCAGGGGTATGTCGGTCATTAGGACAAAATTGTAACGGAGGCTAATTGGAAGACGATGATATATTATAGAAGTTAAGCAAAATATGATTACATATTAGAAGTTTGTATTGTCATGTATCAATATATCATGAGATTATTAGTAATAGCTAAGTACACCGACCCAACCTTACTGTGCAGAGACGATAAAAACTGTAGTGGGCTTAGCATATCACGAGACTATTGGATAATGGACAACTCATCTTTAATTGTGCTAGAGAAAAAAAAAAGTAAATTACAATGTGTACTATGTATTCTTAAAAGTTTTCATACTATATCATCCTTTAACCATTCTTTTCATTTACACAACATCTAACTTTACATTTCAATCTGGACCACCCTACTCTATCCATCTCCAACTCCGGTGACTATGTGACCATTTCGCACACTAACTCTCTCTCTCTCTCTCCTTTTTCTTTTTCTCTTCGACAGTTGGGGAACCGTAAGATCCAGTAAGGAGAAGCCCAAATCTAGCGTCTCTGCTCTTCGTCGGGTCGGTTCCTGTCTCCCCGAGTCCCTACAAACACGACACTGCCGACCTCAACAGTGACCATGACAATAGAGTGCATGATGACAAGGGAGGAGAAAAGATATGTTGGTGACTAGAGGGTGCGGTTGCGCATGCAAAGGCGGAGAGGAGGAATGATGGTGGCTCATGGAGAAAAAGCGGTGGTGGCGGTGCATGGAGCGACAGCTAGTGGTTGCTGCTGGTCTGAGGAGTTTGTTGTTGGCACAACCTCCAACCGAGTTTGTTGTATATTTTTTCTGAGTGCTGTTGATATGTGGGCCACCAGTCATAATAAAGAAATAGCTAGTTTTAAAGTAGTAAAAGAAGTTAAGATAAAGGTGGAGTACTTGATTGGGGATGAAAACGGTTAGGAAACTGAATGGAAACCACTTTTGTCGTTTTCGTTTCCATATTCTTTTCGGAATCGGAATCAGAAAACATTCATGCAAAAACAATCAAATATTATCGAATACAAAAACAGAGCCAATACGGTAACGTATATTTATGGGAATATAAAAACCCCTTAAGTTGAACTTCTCAAATCAATGAAGATGTGTAGTTCAATATCTTTTCTAAAGAAATAAATCGATATTTCTATTTCTTTATCAATTAATAATAATGCAACCAGTTATACACTTTATTTTCTTGGAGAAAAAGAACTATATTCATCTATAACTGCAATTATAAGTAAATCTAATTATTTGGAGTAGAAAAGTCTCAAGCTATTCAGTTGTATATGAGAAATACTTCGTTTCTGATTCCCGAGAAAAAAAAATCTAAATTCGTTTCCGTTTAGAAAAAGTTCCAACGGACACTTTTCGTTTCAGAACCGTTTTCATCCATATAACTCAAGACATTTAACTGTTTATCACTTTTGATGTGGTAATTAATTATTGATACTCATAATCTATTACATGTAGACCCTCGTGTGCATATGATATATCGATTCAGTGGCAAATTATTAATCGCCACATCAAAAAGAGTGGCAAATAATTAAAAATTCCAGGTAACTCGAGTATCATCCCCTTCATTCGGCGTAAAAAGAAAATCTCCCGTCCCGTCTCGTCTCCTCCGTTCCCTGCGCCATCTCGCTGCCGAACAGGGGAGGGCCGTAGGGGTGCCGATCTCCATCTGGCGAGCAGAGCAGGGGAGTGGAGGGAGTGGAGGGGAGGGGATCCTGGTGAGCATCCCACATCCTTGCTTGCGTTCGTTCGTTAACCCTAGCTTCTTTTCTAGATCTGGAGCTAAACCTTAATACAAGTAACAGTTTGTTGTTTGTTCCCCCAAACCTCCATGTCCCAAGTTGGATCCGCCCCTGCCATGGCCAACGAAGAAGCAACGACGTCACCCCAGGCATCTGTGGAGGACAAGGCTAATCGCGTCTTCTTGGATTTCATGACCAAGTAATAAGTTTGATCTTGCTTTCTCTTTTTTCTTCCCCCAAGCATTGCTGAGGTCCTGATATACCTTTTGCAGTACACTAGGTGTATTGGTGTAGAAACTAATTTCAGTAACGGCGAAAGATATTGAATTTGTGATGTGTTGTTTCAAAATCAGTCAGCATGATTTAGGTTAATGTATTCTGACAATTTTTATCTGTAACTACTGACTAACGCAAAACTTTCTTGAACATATTTACAAAAGTTGGATGGTCTGTTTTTTTTGTTCTTTGAATACTATTTCTAGGTGAATATTTCGAAATTTATTATGGTGCACACCTAACTTTATAGGAGCCTAGGAGATGTTGTTATATGGTTATTTTCCTTAATTTTCTTGCACTGGAAAACACTTCCATTAAACTGTTTCTTTCTTGTGTTTGTGAAACTTGTTGAAAGGCATGAGTACATCTGTTATTCCTTTCAGGGTTGCACAGTATGATGAGCTAGTTGATGCAGGAAAAAGGGCTCTTATGATGTTTCATCAAGAGCTAGGTTAGCTCATTTCCTTTTCCCTGAAAAGCCTCAGTATTGACCAGTTTAATTTTCTCTGTTCTTTATTTTTGGATCTGAAACTTTGAAGGAACCTGATCATCCATCGAATGCTTCATTTGTAAGTCCTCTAAAATTCTATTATAACTTACCTATCCCAGTGATACCCCGTGCTGCTGACTACTACTGATAGTTTGGGGCTAAGGTTGGGATCTGTTCAAAATTCAGGTCATAAACTAGATCAGGGGTGAAAATCAGAAAAATTAAAATACCTAATACTTGATCTTACTAAAACCATCGTAGAAAGTTCAAGTTTTTACAGTAGTTTTCTTGGTTGGTAAATTTGAAGCAAACGATATTCATTCTTGCTACATTCTTTTATAATTTTATTTCACCTTTTTTTATGGTTTAATACTTTAATCTTGTATTTATTTCAGTTCTACCTTATGATAGCTGTGCTGCTATTTGTTGGACCACCGATGATGTATTTTTGGAAGTAACTTTCAGTTTACTGAAAGTAACAATTTCTAGCAAACAATTTATTCTGCAAGTCTAAATCCTGCCAAATGGATGTCTGATTCATGTCTATTCTACTTATTTGCTTACCCCCTTTATTACATGGATATCATGTGTAATCTCATTGCGGGTAACTTAAATTCCTATTCATGTTCTGCCATCGCTGTCTTATTCTTTCTGAATAATGCTGAGAAACATTGCACTGCTCACTATTAAGCATGTGCTTACAGTCAACTTGGATATGCACTCACCTATTTCAGAACATTTTCGAAGACCAAAACTCCTCACAGAGTCAGGTGCAATTAGTGAGATAGTCAAGTCTAACCTCAGTGACCGAATGAGGTCTTATCTTGAAGCTGGTTGCACCCATCACAATGAAACCATCCAGAACATGAACAAGTGTAAGTCATAGATCATTTTTCTGTTCTGAATCATCACAGCTCCTGTTGCTACCTATTGTTGTTCTGGGTCTTCTGGCTATACTAGGAAACAGCTACTTTGTGACTAATTATTAAAAGCTTTCTGAAATATTGCTTTCATTCAAATTAATTTCGTGTTTCCTAATATAATGGTATTTAGACAAACCATTGTCACCATTACATTATATAGTACCATGTAAATCCTACAATTACCAAGTTTCTCTTAGCATAAAGAGTTCAAAATTTGAGACACCTTTTTTACTTCGATCCTTTTTGTTTTACACTTTACTCATTACTCCCGTTTTCCAACTAAAGTAGTATTCCCTGTCTTCTGAAGTATTCTAGTATTTCTTTTTATACAAAGTCGTGGGCTGTGTCTATATATTGAAACAGTTCAAACTAACCTTTTCTTTGTGTATTATGCCTCCCTTGGCAATAGGATTGAATCACTGGTATGAATATGCTGTGATATTTTACCGTAATTCTTGTTAGTTGAACTTTGTATTGTGGAATGTACCACCTCTTCATAATATTTTTAAGGAGAAGTAATCGAAAGTTCAAACACAGCATTTTCTTGTTTTAATTCAATTTTTTTACTAGCATTTTCATAATATTTGTCCCCAGCCTGAAACTAGAATAGAAAGATAATGCACTAATAATTTAGTCATTAATTATCCTTTGTTTGTTGTACAAATAATTCTAATGCACAGCAGTTTCTGTGGAAGTGTGTGGTGTCTTCTGTGCTTTGACAGCTGACCTTCTTTCATCAATTACATATTTTGTTTCTATTTCGTCATAACACAATATTCTTTTTCAACTATGTCTATTTGACAGTACATTTTTTTGGTTGCAGTACATTCTTGTCAAGAGAAACTCAATGACCATATAAGCAAAGGTAATTTCATCTTTCTCAGCAGCACCATAAGAACAATGAACATTGTTATTCTATATTCGAAAAGAGTTTTGCCCTTTTGCTAGTTTTTTGTATCTGTAATAGAACTAGTATTAAGAAGAAGTTAACTGTTTGGCACAGCATTTAGTATGTGCATTTTATTTCTGTTGCGCAGCCTTTCCTTGTTTTCATTTTCTGTTTTTATTCGTCCAAGAATTATGAAACATGAGCAAAACTTACAATGGTTGCATTTTATCTCAGTGCCATTCCATCTTTGCTTTTCACGTGCACATGTTGAAAACATTTGGGTTGTAAATGCTCGTGGTAATGGTATCTTACTAATAATATGCCTTTGTTTCTCGTCAGCCAAATTATTGCTTGAAGAACTCCATATTCTGGAGGAAGATGTTTATAGTACCACACTAAAAGCCTGTCTGAGTTCCTTAAGACATATGGATGATTGCCCTGATGATAATAGTCTTACAAATATTTTTTCTGAGGTGGGCATTCCCCTTTTAGTAGTATTAGGCAAAATTGGTTATATAGCATCGAAAGTTCACGTTTTTGGTTTTATAGCACCGAGGTTACCGGTTCACTTTAATAGCATCCAAAGTTCACCTTGTTCCCATTTTTAGCACTTCCGTCAATTTTTCCGTCCGTCTTGATCGTTATTGATCCAGCCACACACATGATATGACATTTCTACCCCTCATTGACATGCATTATACTTGTACTTGTGAGGGGTAGAAACGTCATATCATGTGTGTGGCTGGATCAAGACGGACGGAAAACGATCGAGAATTGACGGAAGTGTTAAAAATGGGAACATGGTGAACTTTGGGTGCTATTAAAGTGAACCGGTAACTTTCGGTGCTATAAAACCAAAAACGTGAACTTTCGATGCTATATAACCAATTTTGCCATCGTATTATTAGCCCCTTGGTCCTGGCTTTCAATTGTGCAAAAATGATACGCCTGATAAGAATTAAAACAAGGCTCACTGAGAAAAGTTAAGAGCTTTTTGACAGCATGTTTACCTCTTTTTTTTGGGGTAAGGATTGACGAGATATTTCGTGTAGCAGGATGAACAGCAATCTGGGGATTTGCTGGACAAAGCAGTGTCCTGTGCAAGTGTGATGGTCCTGGTTCACAATATGTTAAAACTCGATTATACGATGCAGGTTAGCAAAGCAAGCATCTATATATAACTGCTTTCATTCGATTGCTTACATTTTTGGCCTACACTGCAGGAGAAGATTGTTAAGGCATTATGCATTAAAACAGCATCGTCAGAGCTAGAGGGCTACTGTCAAATGTGGGATTTGCGACCATACATCGATGACAATGTCATACAACTTGCGTGGCAGTTTGTTTCTTAGAGGGTCCAAAGCCACTGGAGAAGATGAAGAGAATCACACATTCACAGTTTCACACAGTGTTGACAGGCAGGTGACTTTCCAATGAGCAGCAGTGGTCATGATAAGCAGCAGCATTAGTCAGTATTGAGTAGTGGATCAATTGATGATGATCCAACAATGAACTACATTCAAATGGAACTGTCAACTGTACATATGTTTATTAGGACACTACCAATTAATTTTTTGGGTATGAAGAGGAATTTTATGAGGCCAAGCTGTAATGAGTCATGAATCTGCCAGCTAATTACGGTTGCTTTTGTTCATGCGCTTAGCCGCTTGGTTGCAAATCTCTGTGACAATGACCTCGTCATGGTTGTGCATCTCTAGTGACTGCCTCCATTCACTTGATGGAATCATGGTAAGAGTTGTAATCGGTAGTATCTCTTCGGAAATATTGCTCGGTTGGTCGGTAATCGACTATATTTATCAATTAGACATCAATATGATGCTGAAAGAATTTAGAAAAAAAAAATCAAAGGGTATGACGCTGAAAGAATTTAGAAAAATATCAAAAGGTAATCAATATGATGTTAAAAGAAATTAGAAACCTTTGTCGTCGTCGGAGCATGCCGCCAAGGAAGCGGTGAGGCTGTTCCTTGGTGAGGAAACTTGTTCCCAGTGCTACTACGGAGGGAGGCGCCTATGGTTTCCTCCCCCAGATCTGGTCGACGACATGGTGATGATAGCGAAGCGGCATGGCATAGCTGCCGGGCGACGATGGTAGAGCGGGGACTTCTCTCTCTCTCTCTCTCCCCTCCCTCTGTCCCCTTTGCATTCGTTCGTGACAGGGTGGCGCGGCATCGGAAACAGGTGGTGAGGGCGACCTTGGCTGTTGGGGGCGGCGTGACGAAGATGGAGACGAGTGACTACTGAGCAGCGGAGGCGTCATCCTCTCCTCTCCCTGCCTCGCCAACCGAGGTGGCGCGGAGCATCAGTGGAACATCACCGAGGTGACAATGACTTTGGGCGTTGTGGTAGGATTGGAGGGGGCGGCTAGTGGGGTCGGTGTCAACCATGGAGGTAGGAAGCATGGTGGTGATGGCGGAAGACGGAGGCCAGTCAGCACACTGATAGGTAGTGCACGACGGCGGCGAGGGTGTTCTTAGAGGTGGAAGGGTCGATTGTGCCGGCACACTAGTGGCATGCACATCGACGAAGCCACGAGCCTAGGTGGCAGTGGTGGTGGTGGCAGAGTTGGCGAATGGTGGTATTGGCTGGTCAACTCGACATCGCGTTAGGAGCAAAGTCGAGCGCAGTGGGCAGCGTTAAGGGCAGTGGTGGAGGTCCGCGGCGAAGGCGGTGTGGCTTCTACTAGCACGATGGAGTTTGTCCGGGTGGCATGTGGTCGGTGCTTGATAATGTCAAGGCGGCTTGGCGGACTAGTTTTGACCCTTGTCTTTACTCATGGGGGACGGAGGAGCTTGCTTTTAGCAGCGAGGGGGCGTGGAGGAGGAAGGGAGGATCAGATTCGCATCCCTCGAAGAGTCGAAGTTTGCAGCAACAAGGAAAAACTTGAAGCTAGTCTTCTAGTCCTTTTTCTTTTCGGTTGATTGTTTTTCTTTGTATTTCAGTGTTGAGATGTCGAGTGTATGTACTTGTATAATGTTTGGTTGTGTATATCCATCTATGAACGGATTTCTATCCATTATCTTAAAAGAAAAAATAATCAAAAGGTAATATGCTGCTGAAAGAAATTAGAAAAAAAAAGGAAGGTAACGGTCGGAACGGTAACACTACTTATACGAACAATGGTCTGTCAGAAATTTTTGTGACCGTTTTCATCGTTATGTTTGACAAACTAGTTATAGAGTATACACTACAATATCAATTAAAAAGTGCAAACCAACAAGAAATATTTTTCTACATTACTCAGTACAATTTTTTTCTGTTATGGACTATGCAACATAACTACTCTAATATATCAACGTTTTGTAGATAATGTTCTAATATCAATTAATACATTACTCAGTACAAACTTTTTCTGTTATGGACTATGCAACATAACTACTCTAATATATCAATTTATGTAGATAATGCTCTAATATCAATTAATAATTGCAAATTTGGGTAGTAGATTGAATTAAAATATAGCCAAATAAAATGAAACATTTCAGCATTATACTTAGAAGAAGTATAAAATTTTCACACACGCAAACAAAATAAAAGTAATGTTCGTGGTCGGCAGGATTCGAACCTGCGCGGGCAAAGCCCACATGATTTCTAGTCATGCCCGATAACCACTCCGGCACGACCACTTCTTGTTTAAATTCCTCACATTATTCTACATAAAGTAATCAAATATGATTTTCTCCTGATATTTCACCATCCGTACCGCACGTGCAGGGCAGACGCCATGGAGACCGCCTCCGCCTCCGCCTCCGATCCGCCGCCTCTCCGCCGCCGCCGCCAGCGCCAGCGCCGCCTCGTCTTCGACCGCCGCTACGGATGGATGTACGTATGATCACTCGTCTTCCTCCCTCTCTCCCTCTCTTCGCCTCGTTGTGTTCCCTCGTGCTCACCACCGTCTCCCCGTTTTCCCCCCGGCGCCGCAGCTTCGACGAGTGGACGGACCCCGCAGACGCCGCCCTCGCCGGAGGCAGGGGGATGTGAGTACTCTCTGACGCCGCCCGGTCACGTTCACGTCGGACCAAAATCTTCTAGGCTTTTTCTCCACGCCGCGCGTGCTCATGGCTTTTATGTCCGCCCCCCACTCCTTGCGTTTCAGGTTCTGCGTGCTGCCGATGGCGCGGTCGCTGGTGGACGTCGCCGTGTCCTCGGTATACACCCCCATCTCGATTTCGTTTGGTAGATTTTGGGAAGAGGAGGGAGGTGGATTTGTTCGTCCTGGGTTTATCTTCAATTTCAGAGGGGGGCAGCATATGGGGATATTTTTTAGTCTCACGTTTGCAATGCCTGGGATAATTTGATTGTGTGGTTCACAGATGGATTTGCCACTAGTTTCCTGGTGAATCCTGCAATTTCGTTATTGTTTGTTGCTACTTGTTTTTACGCACTAGGATTGTGATTACTCCCATTTTTTTTGGTTGGGGTGTGGGGAATTAATTTGGGTTGAGTTCCTGGCTTGAGATTCTGTATTGTGATGTTTAGCTATATCGAACAATTAGCTATGTGTTGTTTAGCTGTATTGAACATATATTGAAGTTTACAATTAGCTATGTTGTTTACCTATAATGAACAATTAGCTATTCTATTCTTTCATTTGCTTCCCAGTAGCCATGGTTGAAGCCTATTTGATCAATATCTGAAGGTAGTTGTTTTCTTTTTCAGGTTACCTATGCAGCAGACTCAGTTAGTCAAGCTCTCGAGCGCTGTGGAACCTCATCTCCCATAGCATATCTTCCGCCCCTATCATTGCACAGGAAGCAACAAACATGGTTTCGTGAACTTGAGCATGTTGGAGTTATAGCTGATACAAAGTTAATACCCTGCAGAACTATGTGCAGCTTGGGGTGTATCAGCACTGATGGCCACTGATTGACAAGGCAGTGGTATCACCAATTGAATGCCGAGCTTCTGTTTACAATACGTTAGTTCAGTTTCGGAAATGTCAAATTCGTACAATGTCATCGTGGAGCCCTTTGTCTGTGACTCTCTTTTGTCTCCTTTTTGAAGAAAGCATGAAGTTTGAGATTGAGCCATTGGGGTCATAATATGACCGTTGTATTAGCAATATGGTAAAGTTTTGATGGAATCGTACCATGTTGAGATTGGGTCATATTAGCAATATGGTAAACCATGGTTGGCCTGGTGACAGATCAGATTTCACTAACATACCTTGCAGAAATTAGAGAGTTCACATTGAGTTTTTCTAGTTATGTTTTCTAATTCAACTTGAGGGAGTCAGATAACACCAAACATTGCTGTCCAAAGTTTGGCTGCAATGTTATAGGAAGGTCAAAATGATATTCAGTTTACCCTTGGTTCCTATGTCTTGCACTTTAGGTGAATTGTGGTGCTATAGGTGATTGGATGCTATAACTTAGCCATCTGATTCTTCTGGTTATTAAACAGCAGAACTACTTAAACAAGGAGTCAGCAGTGCAAGCAATATGAAACAAATGGCAACTTAACTAAATATTGGTGTATCCGGAGCATTGCAAAGTTGCAAAACAGGTGGCTCAATACTAATTCTTTGACAGGCACACAAATTTTATACTAAGTGTGATATGCACACAAATTTTATAATGATTCATTGTGCTGGAAAAAAAATTAATGTATGACCAGAAGGAATGTTGTTCGAGATACATTTACTATTTGGATCAATTGAGGCAGTTATTATTTATGAAATATTTTTTAGCATCACCAAATAATTCCTATTAGTGGACTTAACTAAACTGTACCAGATTTTGATGCGTTGTCAATTTTATTTCATTGCACTTACCAGATGAGAAACTCTCTTGATCCCTTTATCCATTTGTTTCTCCAAGTATCATACAAATAGTTATGAAAACATATTAAAATATTTGACAACATTCATATAATACATATTCCACCCCACAAAATTTAAAGTCTAAACTCAACTCTTGAAGTCAAGAAACAAAAAGAACAAACAAAACATATGAACAGTAAGTACCATTGACACCCAAATTTGTTTCTCAGGGTGCAGATCGATTTATAGTTGAAATAAGTTCTACTTATTGATATCACTACACTCTTTATTGTCTTCTTTTGTTTTTTGAAATTATTCAAAACCATTTTTATTTTCTGATATCAAGGACTCTTTATCTGAGGATTAATCCTCTAAAATGTGGTTGATGCTTAATGGATGAGCAGGACAGGTCCCTTCAACTCCTTTATAACATGGACACCAGCCAATCTCCTGTTGACTTCCCTTGCTCCATGAAGAAGGTAATGCTTGCCAGTACATTTCAGCAATAAAATGAGACATATCTCAGTTTGCTACCACATCTCCTCATCTACCAGTGTTCAGCAATGTAAATTTACTAGTGAACCAAGCACAATATGTTGACACCAGTCATTGCTAGGATCTGGGAGACTGGGAAACACTAGTCCTACATTAATTGCTGGATTGTTGCTGAAACTGAGTCTGAAACTCATATAGCTAACTAGGGGCTGAGGAACAACTGATAGTTCAAGGATGTATAGACTTGTTGTTCCTTCAATAGTAGGGACATGAAAAATGCCCTTCATGACCCAACATGGGCTTGCTGCTAACTAGAGGTAGGAACTGATAGTCCAAGGATGCATAGATTTGTTGTTTCTTTAACATTAGACGTGGGAGGCATCGAGACTTCTATTATGTTCTTACTGATTGTGGTGTTTGCTACGCGTTCTCCATTGTCAATATAAAAGTAACCCATTATAACTGCATTTGGTAGGTGATCTGTTGAAGGAGCAAGCTTCTTCTTTTCTTTTTTTTTTAAAAAAAATTTGAAGCCTTTTAAATTGGGAACTTAACCTTCAAACAATCCAACCTGAAATTCTCTCATATGTAGATTTGAACTCAGGACCTTAGGGTGCTACTCAGGTCACTGTAACTACTAGACTACATGCCCTTTCGCCAAGGAGCAAGCTTCTATCCTACCAGTTAATTTGCTTCTGTGCCACAGGGATCAGGGATTCAGTTGTAATGTAATGGGGAGCAAATTAAGCAAAGATCTATCTGTGTGACACACTATTAGATTCGTATGACATGCCATTAGGTTTCTTCATCTACATGACGTACTATTGGACTCGTATGTGATGTATTAGTGAATCTGATCGATTAGGATACTATTAATTAGATGCACAATATGAAATTATCATTTTAGGTGATTGATTTATGAAATAGTTCTCTAAAATTGAACCACATTTTCCTGGGCAATTCTCTGCCGGTGCTAGTGGTAATCTGAAAAAGCTAGTAAGTCATTGTCTGCGGACAATTATCCTATATAAACTGAGAGCTTGTTGTCAAAAAGGACAACCATGTAGAGACCTAAAGGTTGAGCAGCTGCTATCCAAGGATGGATAGTTTTGATCTTGAAAAATTGGTATGAGATGCATCAAGATGTCCACGATGTTTTTCAAGCATGGTGTTTTCTGCACCATTTTATCTAAAAAATCAATGATGAGGCAGGACATGATCTAGAGTAGAATGCCGTCTACCCATGATCCTGGGTTGATGCGGAGGTGTCTCCTGCTGAAACCAGCACATGTCTCATGTTGGGATAATACAGTACATTGATGCGATGTCAATTCCAAATGTATTGGCATCTCATGACCAAGAAGATATAAAATCACTTCAATGCCTATAGTTTTGAGTTGTTTTGGACAGATTCATTAACTGATCGTTTCAAGTTCTTCTTGGTCCGTGGTCGCTGGTGGATGTCGCCGTGTCCTCGCCTCCTCGGTATACATCCATCTCGGTGAATATAGATTTGGAAAGAGGTGGATTGAAGAAACTGAATTTCTTCAAAGGGGAGCATATTGGCATATTTTTATCCTCCTGTTTGGAGTGCCAGTGGATATTTTTGTAACTGTGTGGTGCACAAATGGATTTGCCATTTGTTGCCTTGTGAATTGGTGCTTGACTTGGTCAGGTAATGGCATGTGGTTTTGCAATATCACTAGTAATATTTTCTTGTTGAATTATGTCATTTAGGTGTCCAAAATTGTCAAACAATTAGCCAATTAGCAATAGATAGTTAAGCTTACAATTTCAGTTGATAAGGCTGAAAATCCTTGCGTCCTATCATCAATTGAATACCTAAGTTCGATGTACCATACATAATGTTCAGGAAATATGCCAAATTATTGAATTGCTCTCAAGAAGGAAACCCTTTGTCTGCTTTTTGAAGAAAGCATGAAGCTCTAATATGTTCAGGTTGGCGTCATGTTAGCAATATAGTAAGGAAAGGTTTTGATAAAACCATCCCAGGAGGTGCTTGTGCGGCCTCAGCCAGGTGACAGGTCAGAATGTCAGATTTCGCCTTCATTTCTTGTAGAAACTAGGGTGTGTCTAGTTCACACTAAAATTGGAAGTTTGATTGAAATTGGAACGATGTGGCGAAAAAGTTGGAAGTTTGTGTGTGGGGGAAAGCTTTGATATGATGAAAAAATTGAAAGTTTGAAGAAAAAGTTGGGAACTAAACCAGGTCTAAGGAGCTCATAATGAGTTTTTCTAGTTTTGTTTTCTAGCACCATACATATCTGTGCAAACTGCAAAGTTTAGCTGAAATGCTGTAGGGGGTTTAAAATTGTATTCAGTTTACCCTCGGTTGATATGTTCTGCACTCCGGGTGGGTTGTGTACTTGTGTTGCTGCCAGTTGCTCCATCTTGGAGTTTTGATTTGTAAATAGTATAACTACTTGAGACCGGGAATCAATATTTCAAGCAATTGGAAAGTGTGACAGCTTAACTAATTCTCGCTCTTTCTCTGAAGTTTTGCAAAATCACAACACCTGGTAAATTGTATGCTGTTTGGATCAATTGTGACAGGTGTTTTCTTACAATTTACTCCCTCCATTTCTAAATATTTAACGCCGTTGACTTTTTTAAATATGTTTGACTGTTTGTCTTATTCAAAAAGTTTAAGTAATTATTAATTCTTTTCCTATCATTTGATTCATTGTTAAATACACATATATGTATATATATGGTTTTACATATTTCACAAAAGTTTTTGAATAAGACGAACGGTCATACATGTGTTAAAAAGTCAACGGCGTCAAATATCTACAAACGGAGGAAGTAACTTCTAGCATCTTGGAATATCTCATTTGGTCGACTAAGCTAGACGTACCATATTTTGATGGCTCTTCAATGTTGTTTTCCATTGGAATAAGTTCACCGGAGGTCCCTCAACTTAACAGCGAGATTTTTTAAGATCCCTTAACCATAAAACTAGAAATCTTCACCCCTAAACTATACAAAACCGTCTAATTTGGGTCCCAAGGCAGTATAGATGGCTGGTTTTGATGACGTGGCATCCTAGTCAGCAAAAATAATAAAATAAATATGTGGGGCCCACCTGTCAGTGAGAGAAAATGATGTGGGCCCCACATCTCTTTTTGCTTTTCTTTTTCTCTCCTCTTCTCAACTTCTCAGCTCTCACGCGACGGCGGGATCGGCGGCCGGTGCCCATCTCTTCCCATCCGGAGCCGCGGCGGGCGAGCGGGCGAGCGGCGACCTCGCTGTCGCCAGCCACGCCGCCTCCACGGTGCCGTGCACCTCCTCAGCGCGACACCGGCGGAGGATGCGGAGGAGCGGCCCACCCGCCGCCCGCCGCAGGCCGAGCGCAGGGAGTCCGCCAAGCTGCGCATCAACCGCGCCCTCAACCAGAGCGGCTCTGTCGGCCGCGCCTTCGGCAGCCGGTTCGGCATCGTTGTGATGCTCTTCACCAGGACCGAGAGCTTCATTCGCGACCAGTGCGACGTCGCCGACGACTGGGTCAACACCGTCGCCGCGGGGGCCAGCGCCGGGGCGCTCTACCGCATCGCGTCCGGCCCAAGGTCGATGATCGTCGCCGACATCCTCGGCGGAGTCCTGTCCGGCGCCGCCGTCGCGGGGAAGCCGATGCTTCAGAGATTCGCACCGAAGCTATCCGCCAGATTGGACTATTTACTTTGAGTAAGATTTCAGGTTAATTACTACTCAGCGTTGTGCGCGCCTGGAGATGTTTTTATTCGTAGTATCTAGCAAATCTGATCTCAATTAATTCATAGTTTGTAACTGTTCATATTAATGGACAAACAAACACCACCGCCCGCCGCAAGCCCGCCCGAGGTGGACTGGTCCTTGAGGACGCGCTTCACGACGCGGGACGCCACGTTGGCCGTGTCGGCCGCGCCGCCCCTGCCACCGTCGTCGCAGCCGAGCGCCTGGAGCACCTGCCTCCGCGTCGCGCCCCGCGCGCCGCCCGCAGCCGAGCACCAGGGAGATGTGGACGACGGGGGCGGACACGGCCGCGTTCCCGGTCCCCTCGGCGGCGAGGACGCGCCACGCGAGCGGCAGGCAGAAGGCGCGCTGCGCCGCGGCCAGCTGCTACCGTCGGCGCCCCTTCTCCTGCCGCTCCTCTCCCTCACCGCCACGCCGCGCGCCGCTACTCTCCGCCGTCGAGCTCGCCATCACGCCGGCCGTCTCTCTCTCCCTCTCCCACTGCCGCCGCCGCCCCAGCTCTGCCGCCGGCCACCTCACGCGGAGTCTGCCGCCGCGCCTGCTCGAGAGAAAGATAGAAGAGAAGAGAAAAAAAGGGAAAGAAAGGAGAGATGTGGGGTCTACACCATTTTCTCTCAATTACATGTGGGCCCCACATAATAATTATTATTTTTTTTCTGACTAGGATGCCATGTCAGCAAAACCGGGTGCACATACTGCCATGAGACTTCCTTTGTACGGTTTAAGTAAGTTTAGGGGTGAAGATTTCTGATTTTATGGTTAAGGGACGTAAAAAAATCTCGCTGTTAAGTTGAGAGACCTCCGATGATTCCACATACCATATGTACGAATAAGATAGATTCTACTAGCTTTTCAAAATATCAACACCCAAAATGTCATTATGGGCTTCTTTGGATTGAAGCTAACTTTTGATATACCAATTTTCTTTGCGAGAGAGTTTTGAAAATTGAATGATTAACGATTAATTAATAATAATTAGTGATTAATTATTAAGATTAGTGAAATTAATTAATTGATAATTAGGATAAATAATCACTAATTAATCAGTGATTAGCGGCAAAGATGTGCATGGCTATCGGTATCGCTGGCTGAGCATGCGAGACGCGAAACCGTATCAACCGTTTATTTGTGCGAATAAAATTACGTCCCGGATATTTTTGAGAGGAACAATATATTTTCAAATTTTTTCCATAAAATGACATGTATTTCTATTTGTATCACATCCATCTACCTGTGCACTGTACTGTTAATTTGCTGGGACCTGGGAGCTTTTTTTTTTTAGAACTACCTGGGAACGTTAGTCCTATATAATTTGCTGACATGTTGCTGGAACTGAAGCTCACATAGGCAGATAGCTGTGTTTAGATTGGCCTAAAGTTTAGAATTTAGTTAAAATTGGAGACGATGTAATTGAAAAGTTGTGTGTATGAAAGGTTTGATGTGATAGAAAGTTAAAAATTTGGAAAAAAACTTTTGGAACTAAACACACCCATAGCTAACTAGATCGAGGTTGAGGAGCTGATAGTCCAAAGATGTACTACCTCCATTTTTTTAATATATAACAGCGTTGACTTTTTACATCATGTTTGACCATTCGTTATATTTAAAATATTTAAGTAAATATATTTTCTTTTGTCATGGTTTGATTTATCACTAAATGAACTTTAAGCATGACTAATATTTTTAAGATTTGTACAAAATTTTTGAATAAGACGAACGGTCAAAGATTGTAACAAAAGTCAACGGCGTCATATATTAAAAAACGGAGGGAGTATAAGTTTGGTGTTCGTTCCTTTCACAATAGGCATGAAAGGCATTTGGGATTCCATAGTTTGGCATGCTGCTTGGTAAGCTAACCTGCAATCAAGAATAAGCTTTTGTACGTATCGAGGTGTGCATGGTAAGATCACAAAATTGCATTTGGTATAGGTGATGTGTACAAGAAGCAAGCACTCGTCTGCTGTCCTCAGGCTCAGGTTATAGTTGTGTGGCACAGGGCCATGCAATGAGAATGTAATGGGTAGCAAAGGGAAAGATCTGATTTGTAAGGAATAAAATTAGCAATAAGGCAAGGTTTGATAACGTCATACCGTTAAAAGGGTATTAGTGTAATTTGGGTTTTGTGCTAGCGCATTTTGGTCATTCATCATTCATATTGTACACAATATATTACCCTCAAGGGCTAAAAGTCTCTGCAATAGTTGAATCCCCAATTTCTCTTTTATTTAGTAAAGTTAACATGGTATTAGAGTCTAGATCCAAACTCTAGCCATTAAATCACTGTCACTGCCGCGGCGCCATCTCGTCATTCTACATTGGCAACAAAGAGCAACAGCACGTAGCAGCGCGCAGTCAGATCCAGTCAGCTGCTGGTCGATCGCCTCCCGCCGCACCACCGGTCGTGGTTCGTCGTTCCCATGGTTCAAAATTTCGGACCCCCCAATATGATATCATTTCGATAATTTTTTTTATTTTTTCAATGAAATTTGGCAATATTTGTTTAAATTTGACTAAATTTTGTTCAAACGAGATATTGAACCCTGATCGTTCCCCACCGTGCGCCATCACCAGCCCATCTGCCTTCGGCAGTCACATGCCCTCGTCCGTCAGCGCCGCTTCCTCGCGGATCTGAGGCCGTTGCTGTCCTTCTCCATCGAGCAGCCACCGTCACGGCGCTTGTCGATCTGTGAAGTATAGCAGCAAGAGCAGCAAAATGTTCGTAGTCTCTTCGTGTTCATCAAATCAAGCAGCAGCACCTCGTCCATCTGAGCATCGAGAAGCAGCACCAGCAGTCGCGTGCATCTTCAAGCAGCAGCAACAGCAGCTCCTGATCTCCCTTCCAGCTCCAGCTTCAGCTCCAATCGTCGCCGGCCTCATCGTCCATCACCTGTGAGCCAGCCGCCACCGCCACTGGCCTGGCCGGCGGTGTGTCTTCCTCGCCGTCGGCCTCGTCCGTTTGTTCTCCACCTTCAAACTAGCAATCCATCAAGATGCGTACATTTCTTTGGCCTCTCGTCGAGCTAGCTAGCAGCTGCAGCAGGGCCAGCAGCATGTGTTGTCCTCCATCTCCAAGCAGCAGTAGCTGCAGTATTTCCCTTCGATTATGTGTTCAAATGCTGAAGTGAGCAGTTATTCCGACTTGTACCACCCGAGAAGATCAATTGTTGCTAGCTGCAGCTGCTGCATATCACTGTATCCTTGGTATAATTGGATAGTATCCCTTGTCATCTGCTAGTGTCTTGTTAATGTCTCACGCATTTTGCTAGTTAATGTCTCGTGAAGGCTCTGACGTACACTTCATTGACGAGGAAATGGATCTTTTCTTCTCACTGGTGGAGAAACCATCTTTACTCCTGGTTGGGAACCCCCTTTAATCCCGGTTTTTTAACCGGGAGTAAGGATCCGGGACTAAAGATAAACATATTTAGTCCCGGTTGAAATAACCAGGACTAAAGATAAACATATTTAGTTCCGGTTGATATCACCACCAACCGGGACTAAAGAGAGGGGATCTTTAGTCCCGGTTGATGTTACCAACCGGGACTAAAGAGACAATAGCGTGGTCCCTTTTTCTTTTTCTTTTTTTCTTTTTATTTTCTCTCGAATCAAGTAGGCAAATTCCTAAATCAAACTAACATCCAAAATTCACATCACCAAATCCACATCACAAATCATAAAGTTACTTATACACACAAATCAAATACATCACAGTATCCTAAGAAATTACTCAAATACATCACAGATCCAAACAATGAATCACAAATTTTTAACTTATCAGTCAAATACATCTCACAGATCCAAACAATGAATCACAAATTTGTAACTTCTTAGTCAAATACATCTCAGTGAATCATCACAAATTAAAAAAAAATGCCGCTACCGACGCCGGTCGCCATGACCGCCGGGCATGGCCCCGCCGCCCGCCGCTGGGCGCGGCCGCACGCGGCCCCGCCGCCGGCCGGCCCGCCGGATGGGAAGGGGAGGAGGAAGGGGAGAAGGGGAAGGAGATGAGGAAGGGGAGGAGTTGGAGAAGAGGGGATGAGGAAGAGAATTAGAGAGGATAGATCTGAGGAGAGGGGGTGAGATTCGATCTGTAACTGTGGATGAGAGGATAAGTGATAGCGATTACTACGTGTTTAATTTAGTCCCGGTTGGTAAGTGGTGATCTTTAGTCCCGGTTATTAACACCAATCAGGACTAAAGATACTCGGCCCCCTGACATACATCTGACAAGGGATGAACCGGGACTAAAGATCACTAACCGGGACTAAAGATCAAAATTTTTACCGGGACTATTATGGATTTTACCGGACGACCAGAGATGGTTTCTCCAACAGTGTCTTCATTTAAAAAAATTGCATGCTTCAACGTCAGCAAGCATGGACTCTGGATTTATTTTAATATTTATTGTACCTTTTAAATGCAACATGTATGCTATATACATGTTGCAAATTTGAGTGGGAGTGTTAAGAGTATTAGTATAACAGCGTATTGTGATATGGGTTTTTTTTATCATTCCACATTCATCTTGTACACAATATATTACCCTCAAGGGCTAAAGTCAATGCAATAGTTGAATCCTTAGTTTCTTCGATGAACCTGACATAGCAGGAGCTGCCATGTCAGATTCATCGGAGAAACTAGAGAGCTCATATTGAGTATTTCTGGTTTTGTTTTCTAGTTCAACATTTGGGAATACCACCGCAGATTGCTGCGCAAATTAAGTTTAGCTAAGTTATATGAAGTTCAAAATAGTACTCTACTTGCCCTAGGTTCCATTGTAGTGCCCTCATGGATGTATTTTTTAGGCAGGAGCAAGGCTCATCTTTTCATTTATGCTTATACTTATCAGCCAAAATTTAAATTTTCAACCTTAAATTTAGGCTGATTTTAAACTTTTTTCATCAAAGTTTATTTTTCAACTTTTGTTTTTAGATCGCTAAAAACACGTATATAAAAGTTATATTCGCAAATTATGTTTCGTTTGCAAATATTCCGTTTTGCTTATTCCGC